GGCCCTTGTTTAAAATTCCACCCCCCCCCCCCCCCCCCCCCCCCATTCATTCTTCATAAATAGTTTTACGGTTGGTTGGTAGGTCTAAATATTTAAGATTTCCAAGGAAGTAGAACTTCGTTCATCGACATGAACCCACCCGTGGATGTGATGACGACAGCACACCTTTTTAAGATTTCTGGGCTCCAGAAAATGATGTTTGTGGTGTTTTTTATCTTATTCTTATTGTTCGTCCGTCGAGGATCGACGAGGACCATCGAGTCGTCTGGTGACTGATGACTTGCGCGGGTGACTTTTGTTTAAAGTGAGGAAGAGTTGCGCGGCGTCTACCTCACTCTCTCGTCCGAGCCCACCGTATCCAATGGCAAGACTCTACGTCAAGACGACGAGGGATGGGTTCGGTTGCAGGAATTGTCATTGTTTGCGCCTTACGGGACTCCAACTCCGGGTTTGAATTCAGAGTTCCCTTCTCTTAGATGAGTTGCCGACCAAGGGTTAATGAGTCTCATACAGCTTTTTGTCTAGGACAAGCTGATCGATTTTACCTAACTTTTCACGGACTGCTTTTGTGTTGTCGATTAACATTGAATTGAGTATATCAAATGTGTGTTGCGTTTTCGCTTCTATTGTTATTATTATTTTTTTTTATTTTAAAATTATCCGGATTTTGTAGTCAAATGGGAGACCCCCTTTTTTTTAAAAATCAACCAGGATTTTCATTTGGAAAACAAAATCATGTACAAATATGGAAATTTTAAATGTTTCAATAGGTTTGACAGAATAGCCTCTTGTCACTACACGCCATTGTAAATAAAACATGTCCTTTTACACCCACTTGCAGATTAGGTTGGGTTAATGGCACTCAGGGTTAAATCTAATAATGTGGCGTCCCTTCATCCATAGGGCGACTCAATGCACAAGCGTGATCCTCATTTACCAGCGTGATCCCCATTTAACAGCGTGATCCCAAGTTATCAGTGTGATCCCAGTTTACCTGATGGATCCCATTTACCAGTTTTATCCCAATTTACCAGCATGAGCCTATTTACCAGCGTGATCACAAATCATTGACAAGATCCCCATTTTCCAGCGTGATCCCAGTATATCAGTGTGTTTTCAACTTACCAGCTTGATCCCCATTTACCAGCGTGATCCCAATATATCAGTGTGATCCCAATTTACAAGCGTGATCCCGATGTGTCAGTGTGATCCCAATTTACCAGCGTGATCCACATCTATCAGCGTGATATCAATATATCAGTGTGATCCCAACTTACCAGCGTGATCCCCACGTGCCAACGTGTTTCCAATATATCACGACAATTGGTTTGTTTGGATTTGACAACCCTGCGTCGATGAGGAGAAGTGTGAAGCGCACTGAAGAGCTTGAGAGCAAAAAAAAGACGAAATAAAACAAAGGATGTGACCGTGACAGTTCAAAAAAAACATTCTTCTGACAATCAGAGGACAAGATGAAACATCAAGTTGAAAATTAAAACATTTTAAAAAAATTAAAGTCATCTCGGCACAAGGAGTTTGAAAACTACAGCCTATGTAAGCCTTTTCATTTAGAAATAACCGGTCACTGCCAGGCCGCCATACAGCTGGCCCAACCAGGACATTGTACGCATCAATCTGCATGGCGTGGATTTAGCCATTAGTTCACTGATAGTAATAACGAGTGTGGGGGAACATGGCTGCAGGATCGCGATCATGAGAAATGGGCAAATCGGTTGGATGGGACACGTTAGCCTGGGACGGCAACTCATCTAAGAGAAGGCAAACTGAATTCAAACCAGGAGCCAGAATGATCAATATATTGATCGTGGGACCTCATATATAGAACACAAAGAAGAAGAAATAGTAGAATGGTTCAGATGACCTTTGACACGCTGCACCGCAGGTGAATCAAATACAAATTTATTTATTTTTATAATAAGTTGTTTTTTTTTAAAGTGTTCTCACGTTATTATTTGATCCAGGGAATAACGAATGTGTTTGATCCAGGGAATAACGAATGTCTTTGATTCGTTATTTATTCAATTATGGTTTGTTTTTTTTTTTTGTTTTTTTTTTTTTTTTTTTTTATTTTTTTTTTTAAATTTTTTTTTTTATCCAGGGAATAACGAATGTCTTTGATTCGTTATTTATTCAATTATGGTTTGTTTTTTTTTTGTTTTTTTTTGTTTTTTTTTTAATTTTATTTTTAAAATATTTTTTTTACAGACTTTCATTCATAACAACAACATCATCAATTAAGAAAATACTCATTCACGAAATGATAAAAAATAATGGGATCAAAGCTAACTATCACCCGAAGACTAAAAGCCTAAACGCTACTGAAAAGAAAAAAAAACATGATGTTGAAACGTTAATTGATGTTTGAATCATTTTTTTCATTAGATAATCAATGCCAAAATACACGCATTGAGTCACATGGCCTTCAAGACAAGATCGAACTTTTGATAAGCGTTATGGAAATTTAAAAAAGAGCTTACACACAGCTCACAGTTTTATTTTATTTATTTTTTTTGTTTAACTTGGAAAGTCTAAACCACACAAACGTTGACCTGGCGCCTTGATACAAACCAAGTTTAAAATCAAAAACACAAATCTCTCTCAAAAACTTTGAAATTATTTTAATATGCAGACATATATGTACGAAGTATCAAAACAAATGTCTTTTTTTTTAAAATTAACAATAAAAGAATCATCTGATTATCATATCAAAATAGTGCAATGCTAGACGACATTTTATTTACGTGTTGATAGTGCATACGTACACATCATTTTATTAGAGTGTAAATATTTCAAGGATTACACAGCATTCTGTGAACGTATAATATTGGGGGAAATAACAAAATATAACTCTTGAGTTCCTCATCGTGTGACTTTTCTTTTTTCAATGCACATTATTTAAAGTATTTCCCTTATCCGGTTTAGTGATTTTTTTTTTAATGAACTACCAAAATGATAGCACGCATACAATTAACGATACAAGCAATATTAAAAATTGTTGAAAAGTTAATTTTTTTAAAGCTAACAGCAACCAGAAAATCTATTAATAAACAAATGTATCCGTTCATGAACATTAAAACACTAAAATGCCGTTTTATTAATATAATTAAAACGTCCATGGTTATGAGGATAACTTAAATACTCAGCTGGTGTAAGAGAATGGAAAGTTACAAGTAATGTTACACATCCTATTCTCTCCTACCACCGGTGCGTGCGTAGGCACTCCCCCCCCCCCAAACACATCGGTAATTACATCATGCACTTTCCTAACCATTAGTTACTACATCATCCACTATCTTACCATTGGTGGATACATCATCCACTATCTTACCAATGGTGGATACATCATCCACTATCTTACCATTGGTGGATACATCCTTCGCTTTCGCGCGTGCTTATATTTCATGGATATTTACACTTCCCAATTGTAATTTGATGTGTTTGCATGTGTGTGTCGAGACTACATAAGACGGGAGACCTTACACAGATCTTCTGTTACGTGTGTTAGTAAATTGAGGAACGTAAGTTACTGAACTTCAGAGTTCAAGTGTGGAAGCAAGGTTCTCAAAAAAAAAAAAATCTTATTTACAGCATTTCCCAAAAAAATTTCTGACAAATGTTTTAGGCTATATACGTCCGCATGAAGCTTTGGATATCTACGCGACAAATCGGGCACTGTACGAGAAGTTTAGCGCAGACGTAGCACGACGCCAAATGTCCACACGGGACAAATGCGACACACGCGTCACTGTCCATGCATATCTTGCACATGCGTTCGTCTTTTAGCCTACGGTTTTCTTCGGCCAGATTCGCCTGGTGATTGTCAGCATTAGCAGACGCACCGGCTGAGTCAGGTTGAGCGGCACTCCATCTGTCCGCCATCGGTGCAGCCGCGAATGATGGAACAGGCGTTGGCGTGGCTGAGGTGTGGGAGATCTCGTCCTCACGTATGTTCATGTTGAACACGGTTTCTATCAGGGCGTCCAGGCTCGTGAATTCACCCCGACCTTCTGCCCACCTCGTTTTCACGCATTTTTCCAGGATGTCTTTGGGTATGTCCATTTGGAGAGCTTCCTTGACTACCGCACTGCTCATGGGATCTCTGGCGGGACCCGTCGCTTCTACCTAGAGACGGCATTTCAAATAGAGTTTTTTAGGTCAAGTGATTCAATTAACATAGAACATGGTCGCAATCAGTTGGAAAAAAAAAAGAATTTGAAATGTGTTCAAAATTTCAAACGTATGACAACGGTTGGTGCTAGCCATCACAGAATGATAGCAACCACGATCGAGTTCTAGACCAGGAGTCACCAAACTTTTTTTTTCACAGTGGGCCGGAAAACTGACAAAATTCCGTGCGCGGGCCGAAAAATCATTCTGTACAACACTTGATTAATCCTGAAATCTAACTTGTGTAAAATTATCGCTAAAACAAGAGCTAGTGTGCATGCCCACGATCAGCGGAATTGGTTCACATGTGGCGGTGCAGTCCTTGGTTTTAACAAATACCAAAACGAATTCGCATTTTAAAAATTCATAGCTCAAAAAGTACTAAAGAAAGAAAGTAGATGCTGGTTTCATTTTTTTTTTTTAAATTTCAACTTTGCTCTATATAACTGTAATATTTTTATAACTTTTTTGGATTTTTAAATTTTTCTTTTTTACTTAATTACCTAATTCTAAACACAAAATTTAAATTGTATCATAACGTCTCGTGTTCCAAACGTTTTATCAAGCAAATTCAAATACCGTCGGTGGACCTGATGAACTGGCGTCACGGGCCGGATTCCGGCACACGGGCCGTAGTTTGACGACCCCCCTGTTCTAGACCAGCGGAAGCATGGGAGTCGTCACTGGCATAAGCAGTCAATGTGCAAAATCTGTAGGTCAGGTTTATGTCCATATAATAGTCCCGTACCACAAATTGGGGGCGGCCACTGCTTCTAGCCAGCAGACTTCAAATCTCTTCAAGCGTGCTCAGATCAGTTAGTTTTGTTTTTAAAAAACTATCGTTCCCAAAAATGTATGTATGTTAAGTTTGTATAAATTATAAGAAATCACAGTGATGACAGTTTGGTATTGTTAAACCATCTTTAATATGCAAATTAAAATATAAATTATCCATTAAGTTTTTATATCTACTTGCAAAACAAGAGGATATCCCTCCATCTGATCCATGTGTTCCCTCCACTCTCTTTCTTTCTCTCTCTCTCTCTCTCTCTCTCTCTCTCTCTCTCTCTCTCTTTCTGTCTCTCTTTCTGTCTCTCACTCCATCTCTCAGCCCCCTTCCCCTCACGAGCTTTCAAAGCCCCTTTTGAGTCTTTGGGTTTCTTTACATAAATCAATCAACAAACAAAAATAAAATATAAAAAATCAGGAAGTATAGATCACTCAAAACATTAAACATATGAATAAGCTGGTTTACCCTGGTGAGCACATCCTGATTATAATACCACTTTTTGCCATCTTCATACTGGACCACGACGTCATCATCAGCATCAATGGCGACCACTGTACCGGTTAAACACGTGTACTGTAAACAAACAAAAAACAAAAAAGAAACAAAAAAATAAAATTTGCAACTCCGTTCCATAACAACCAGATGGCTTTCTTATATAAATTGTCAGCAAAGAAAAGAACAACCTTGGGTTTTCATTAGGGATGCTAATATCGGTTTCGGGAAACCGGTTTTAAACCGTTAACCGGTTCTTACAAGGCATTACCAGCTACGAGCTCGTTACATTTACTGCAGTTGTCTGCCCCGATTCGGAGACAAACGCAGAAACACATTTGGGGCAGACAGGAAGGGGAGTGTCATTTCTAAGGCCGGAAAACGTCACATCGAGTACGTAACGTTACTATTTTTAGACAAGGTCTTCGTAAGACGTAGCTTCTAACAATGTATGTCCGCATAGGTATAGTATATGGCAGTAACAATTTGTTTTCAAAATCTTTCGTTCAATCAAGTTGTAAACACGTTCCGGTCTAGGTTGGGACTCCCTACGCCGGCTCCTAGTCACTCAGAAGAAAACCTGTTGAGTATTGGCCAAACGGAGAAACAGGATGTTTTTTATTAATATCTTAATGAAATTGGCCAGACTGAATGCCCGTATGTTCTATTGATAGATTTCCGCCATTAAACGACGAACACTATAGGGCTATCATTTATATGTTCAAGTCAATGTTTGCAAATGATTTTTTATGGCAGGTATCAATTTTCAAATCCATGATGAATGATGATGGTGATGAAAAAATCTAAATGAAATTCCTCAAGTTTTCTCATTTTTTTTAAAACAAATATTTAAAGAAGTCCAATAGCGAGTAAATTAAAAGCCACAGGTTTGAGAGTCAAGAACTAAGTTTTAAATTTTGTTAAGATTGGAATTTTTAAAAATAGGACTATGGTTACGAACACATTTTTTGTAAAACAGAGTAGTAATTGAGACAATATCATCTCTCAGACTGTATAGTAATAGGCACAGTACCATCCCTCAGACTCTATAGTAATAGGTACAGTATTATCCTTCAGAATGTGCAGTAATAGGAACAGGATCATCCCTCAGACTGTGCTCTGAAATGTTCTCGTTGGAACAGATTTCTTTTTTTCTATGAGCTCTCTATATAAACGATTAAGCCATTGCTGGGAACGTAATGTTATTAAGAGCTTACTGAAGTCATTTAACGTTGTGGTCAACATTCAAAGAGTCTTACCTGGGCCATCTCGTCTGCCCAGCCGCCATGGTTTTGTTGAAGCGCCTTCACCACATCGTTGTCAACCCTACACTTGACTTTCTCGCCAATTTTAAAATCACATCCCGAGTCAATGACTTGTCCTGTAGGTAACAGAGAACGTGGCGTACAGAGAACATGGTGTACAGAGACATTGCGTACACACATTACTAAATATTGCAATAAGTACACAAATTATATAAGGGTAAATAAGTCCCCATATTACTAAACGGTAAACATTGCAGTAACTATAGATATTAATTAAGGGTAAAATTTGCCAGATGCACCTCTGGTAATGTCCAGTTTAATTATCAAATTCTATTTAAAGCTGCAAAACATACCATAGAGTCGGCAGTTTGAATAAACAGTTCAAATACTGACTTTGAGTCTAAGAATGCTATAGAATTTTTGGCTAGCCTATAAAACTTCTTGACTATTATACTTGCTGGCTATTGTCAGTTGACGAATATTTGTATAAAACATGCCTAGACTGACCTAAAATTGGCAAATGGCTCCTGTAGTAGACGCCACCGATGGAAGCCTTGATACATTTCAAGTCCACTTTTCCCGAATGTCCCAGCCTGTAGGTGTTTTTTGTCCCGGATGACCACGTGACATCAGCTTCACTGTTGCCGGATTTTGATGGATCCCAGTCTTTGATTTCGTAAACTAAACCTTCACTGCCCTCTCCACCTGAGAAAATAAAAATCATGCCACGAGTCATTGCACACTTGTGTAAAAGATGATATTTAATTAGATAACAGGTCATGGATGCTTCTGGAAAAGACTACTATTAATTAGACACCAGAATAATGATGCTTTTAGAAAAAGATTATTGTTCATTGGACACCAGAAAATGGAAACTAATAAACTTCTAGCAAAGATTATTGTCATTTGGACAACAGATCGTGGATACTTCCAGAAAAGATTATTATTGATTGGACACCAGACCATGGATACTTCTAGAAAAGATTATTGCTATTTTTTTCACTAAACAACTGAAGACTTGTTGTAAAGATGGCAGTTAATGGCGTTAGAATGTGTGACAAAAATATACGCGCCGTGACCACGAGACATGGTGTGTGTGTGTTACTGTAACACTCAGAGGAAGTCGGCTTCATACCCACGTAAATGACAATCTTTTAATGAGCACGCATTTATTGGGACATGTTTAAACACGAGGCCTATCACGTGTTTTACAGATGTAGTCGGTTTCATGCCCACATAAATGGGACTCGTTTAATAAACAAGCATTGATTGGGTCATGGCTCATACTGTGCTTCATGCCCACATAAATGGAACTCGTTTAATAAACAAGCATTGATTGGGTCATGGCTCATACTGTGCCTTATGACTACATAAATGGAACTCGTTTAATAAACAAGCATTGCTAGGGTCATGGCTCATACTGTGTTTCATGCCCACATAAATGGAACTCGTTTAATAAACAAGCATTGATAGGGTCATGGCTCATACTGTGCTTCATGACCACATAAATGGAACTCGTTTTAATAAACAAACATTGATTGGGTCATGGCTCATACTGTGCTTCATGACTACATAAATGGAACTCGCTTAATAAACAAGCATTGATTGGGTCATGGCTCATACTGTGCCTTATGACTACATAAATGGAACTCGTTTAATAAACAAGCATTGATTGGGTCATGGCTCATAATGTGTTTCTAGCACCTATTCTTCAGAATGTTTGTTTTTTAACAAATCATTTTTGTACGACCTTATCTTGGCGTGTCATATGACGAGTTAGTCTAAATTTTAAGAGTTAGTCTGCCTTTTAATGTTTAGTCTGTCTTTTAATAGTTAGTCTGTATTTTAATAGTTAGTTTGTCTTTTAAAAGTTAGTCTGTCTTTTAACAGTTAGTCTGTCTTTTAACAGTTAGTCTGTCTTTTAACAGTTATTCTGTCTTTTAACAGTTAGTCTGTTTTAGGAAATATTCTAAATTTTTCTTTCGGAAGCCTACCCATTCAGCCACCCCAAAATTATATATATATTTTTTTTTCCTTTTCTTTTTTCTTTGAGCTTAAATTTAACTAACCAAAAGAATGAGCCCTCACCGTCCTGATTACCGTACATCCAGTCCTGCCCGCGGCACACCTTGGCCCCCACAAAGATCCCTTTGGCTTGGACCTTCTCACTGTCACGTCTTCTGGGAACTTTACGACTGGAAATTACAAAGAGGGAAAAAAAGATGTTTAAAAAAAAAAAATTGGACAGTAAATGAAACATTGCCGCCAAGAAAGCTGCCTATGTCATATGAATCAACTATCATAGCACTAGGTGTTTTTAGTTGTGCTATGCAGATTTCAAGAGATATTATNTTTTTTTTTTTTTTTTTTTTTTTTGCAATCACACTTGACAAGCACCTTTATTTTATAACAAGAGCTCTTTTCTTGTTATTTTATTAATTGTTTAAATAACACACGCTTTTCGCTATTTCGCCATTATCAATTAATTGTTGGCTAAGCCTGGAAATATCCAAGGTGAACTAAATAACTGTAAATCATACAATAAGAATTCGAAAGAGGGAGAAAAAAAAAACGCAAATTCCCCCCCCCCCCAACCCCCCCTTTTTTTTTACGTAAGAATTTTCAAGTCTGGCCCGCCAAGGTGCTTGTCTTTGAGTTGAACACCTCCGATACGCCTGCAACAAAAAACACACACACATATAGTGTTGTGGGCAGCAACCGTCGGCTGGATCATGTTCGTTGAGAATTTTCTGTGTTGAGATTTTTTCGTGATTGGAATAATCCGTTTAAATCCCGGTGGAATGTTGAGATCAAAGTGTTTTAACGCTTATGCAAAGTTCTTAACACCGCAAAATGTTGAGCAATTTTTCATAAGAACCTTCACTTCAATCACGTAGGATAAGATTTTCAAAAATTGTGTTTTTCTTTAAAGAAATTAAGATAATAGCCGCAATTAAAAAGATTTCATTAATTAGCAAGGTTTAAAAATCTCCATGGAACTAAGAAAACAGTCTACCGTTTTGAACCCGGGCTGTCAATGCTCCAGAACTCGTGGCCGGTGTCGTGTTTATCTGTGCTGTAGCAGGTGGAGCACAGGTCGTAGTTAAAACAAACCATACACTTCCATCGAATTCCTTTAATTCCTTGTGTTTTACAATGATCGCATGTGGTCGACTTATGTTTAATGCCTGTGTAAATAGAAAAAAAAAAAGAAAAAGGGGGGGGGGGGGGGTAAATGGTCAATCCCCATGAAAATTGTGTAATTTACCATGGAATCTTTGATTTCCCTGAATATGAAATCCCCACCTTCTCACTGAGTATGTATGTTACTTCGCCCATAGCACCTTTTAATTTGGCAAAGAGGATTGATAAAGAGCTAAATATGACTAGTTTATTTCATTTTTTTTAATTTACCACTAAGTGGTAATGATGAACTTTTTGTTGGTTCTGTGTGTATGTGTCTTTATTTCAAAGGGAGTTAACTATCTTTATAATATATAAGGATGTGTTCAATAATTTCACATTGTCGTGATGAGGAATACATAGTTAATGATAATACACATGTTCACACAAATATTGTTGACAACGCCTAAAGAAATAGGTTCAACATTATCTTTTTTTGTTAACCAACTCACCGCCCGGGGCGTTGTCGTAAACACGGAGATCGTGCGCCCCTTCTCGTCCGGCTCTGTACACGTTCCTCTGCCCGGAATCCCATAGCACCGACACACACTTCTCGGGGGGCTTTGAGAGGCCGGGCCCACCGATGTCCACAACGGTCCCGAGATGGCCCTCGCCGCTGTCCTGGCCCCCCCACTTCCAGTCAGGCCCACGGACGACTCGGCACCCGAGCAGAAGGTTGCCAGGTTGGCCGGCCGATGGCGTTGGTGAGGCTGGCGGCGACTCTTTCATGCCCTTTGGGATGTAAGGTTTGTAGGCAGATTTGCTTACATTTGCTAAGTAATTAGAATGCGATACGACCGTGATGACATGTAATCAGTCACTTAATGATATCCGACCAAAATATGCATTCAAATAACGCACTTTATAAGAATCCCAATAAGCGCAAACTTTTGGGAGTTTTTAATTTACGCGCCTATTGAACACGGCGTTGCAGCCATACATAAATACATGGTTACCGGAAATTTGTTTGCATGAAATTTCGTTGACGGAAAATTGATTGACGGAAATTTGATCGAACGGAAGTTTGGTCGCATCTTTTTTTTTTCAGTCGACACGTTAAAATGCTGTTTTGCTATATATAGTATAGTGCAACGAAATTTATTTCAAACAAATTTCCGGATACGAAAATACATACCTAAAGAATTATTCATTAAAAGTTCACTCTTTATATTATTCTTAGGTTCCTCTAAACATTCAACAAGCTTGCAAGTTTTTAACTTAACATTCCCCCCCCCCAAGGTGTACACGGACCTGGGGGGGGGGGGACAGTGACTGGTTTGGTGTTATGGCATCACAAGAAAACTGTTGGCATCATCATCTGTTAAAGGGGTAACTACAGTTTCAAATATCACAGTGTCGGCCACGAATTTCCATTCCTGGTTTAAGAGAAACGCACAATCCAGCATGTAACCCTCCTCTATGTTTTACGCTCATCGCCAACATTACTTGCGTGTCATTTCAAAATGCTATATTTATTTTATTAATAGGCAGTTCGTCGAGATGTTTAATTCAGTTGTGAGACCAGAATGTGGGAAGAAGGAGGACAGTAACAAGACTAGCCAGTTTTTTTTAAATATTTTTTTTTATTTTTTCACCATTACAGTAACTCACATCTCTAATGGCTTTTAGCAGCTGCGAGGCGATGAGCGCTTCAAAAGGTCTCGCCAACTGCTCCTGCATCAAAGCCTGCAAAAGTGGGTCTGCGTTTAAACTGTCGTCAGAACTGTCTTCGGCCATCTTCCCTGTCAAAGCATTGTTGTTGTTTTAAACACATTTCATATCAAACAATTCCTAGAAGTTTCGGGCCCATTCGACACTAAGTTTATTCAGTTTTAAATTTTAAATACATAACTCTATCTGTAACTAAGGTACAACCATCATGAGACAACGCCCCTTCACATAACACTATAATAATAGAGTTGTACCGAGAACTGGAAGATGACTCTTGTAGTAGGGCCAACCGGAAGCCGCCTCCACGCACTTTAAGTCGAGTTTCCCATGGTGCCCCACGCGGTAGGAGTAGGCGGATCCACTTTCCCACAAGACGCCGGCTTTGGTTCTAAACGTGGGATCCCAGTCACTGATGTGGAGCAGAAATCCCTTTTTGCCCTGACCACCTGCAACAAAGTAACACAGTCTTCACACGGATGATTTAATGCGTGTCTTTTGTTTTGGACACAGGTGAGAAAGGCGAGTTCAAGCTTATATCCCCGATTGTTCGACTTCACAGATCCAACCATCTTGATTGTATACAGGTCGCAAATTCGTATGGTCGGCTAATATGATGACCTTCTAATTTGAGACTCCTCACAGGTCTACATCCTGATAAGTTCAATCTGCTAGCAACTCGCCATCTTATTGAACGACCTATTAGGGGTATTAGCAACTCACCATCCTGATTGTACGATGTACTAACAACTTACCATTTTGATTGTACAACTTGCACACAACTCACCATCCTAACCGTAAATCCCAATAGCAACTCACTATCCTGGTTGTACAACAACGTAACAACTCACCATCAAGATTACACAACTTGCATACTACTCATCATTTTGATTGTACAACTTGCACACAACTCACCATTTTGATTGCACAACTTGCACACAACGTGCATACTACTCACCATTTTGATTGCACAACTTGCACACAACTCACCATTTTGATTGCACAAATTCCACAAAACTCACCATTTTGATTGCACAACTTGCACACAACTTGCATTCTACTCACCATTTTGATTGCACAACTTGCACACAACTTGCATACTACTCACCATTTTGATTGCACAAATTCCACAAAACTCACCATTTTGATTGCACAAATTGCACACAACTCACCATTTTGATTGCACAACTTGCACACAACTTGCATACTACTCACCATTTTGATTGCACAACTTGCACACAACTTGCATACTACTCACCATTTTGATTGCAAAAATTGCACACAACTTGCATACTACTCACCATTTTGATTGCACAACTTGCACACAACTTGCATACTACTCACCATTTTGATTGCACAAAATGCACACCACTCACCATTTTGATTGCACAAATTCCACAAAACTCACCATTTTGATTGCACAACTTGCACACAACTCACCATTTTGATTGCACAAATCCACAAAACTCACCATTTTGATTGCACAAATTCCACAAAACTCACCATTTTGATTGCAAAACTTACACACAACTCACCATTTTGATTGCAAAACTTACACACAACTCACTATTTTGATTGCACAACTTGCACACACTCAACTTTTTAATTGCACAAATTGCACACAACTCACCATTTTGATTGCAAAACTTACACATAACTCACTATTTTGATTGCAAACTTGCACACAACTTGCACACAACTTGCACACAAGTTGCACACAACTTGCACACAACTTGCACACAACTCACCATTTTGATTGCACAACTAGCATACAACGTGCAAACAACTCACCATTTTGATTGCAAAACTTTCACACAACTCACGATTTTTATTGCACAACCTGCACACAACTCAAATCATTATCTCACAAACTGCTCACAACTCAAATCATTATCTCACAAACTGCTCACAACTCACCTTCATGATTGCACAACCTTCACACAACTTGCACACAACTTGCACACAACTCACCATTTTGATTGAAAACTTCCTCACAACTCAACATTTTGATTGAAAACTTCCTCACAACTCAACATTTTGATTGAAAACTTCCTCACAACTCAACATTTTGATTGAAAACTTCCTCACAACTCAACATTTTGATTGAAAACTTCCTCACAACTCAACATTTTGATTGAAAACTTCCTCACAACTCAACATTTTGATTGAAAACTTCCTCACAACTCAACATTTTGATTGAAAACTTCCTCACAACTCAACATTTTGATTGAAAACTTCCTCACAACTCAACATTTTGATTGAAAACTTCCTCACAACTCAACATTTTGATTGAAAACTTCCTCACAACTCAACATTTTGATTGAAAACTTCCTCACAACTCAACATTTTGATTGAAAACTTCCTCACAACTCAACATTTTGATTGCACAACTTGCACACACTCAACTTTTTAATTGCACAAATTGCACACAACTCACCATTTTGATTGCAAAACTTACACATAACTCACTATTTTGATTGCACAACTTGCACACAACTTGCACACAACTTGCACACAACTTGCACACAACTTGCACACAACTTGCACACAACTTGCACACAACTTGCACACAACTCACCATTTTGATTGCACATTTAGCATACAACGTGCACACAACTCACCATTTTAATTGCACAACTTGCACACAACTCACCATTTTGATTGCAAAACTTGCACACAACTCACCATTTTGATTGCACAACTTGCACACAACTCCCCATTTTGATTGCACAACTAGCATACAACGTGCACACAACTCACCATTTTAATTGCACAACTTGTACACAACTCACCATTTTGATTGCAAAAATTGCACACAACTTGCACACAACTCACCATTTTGATTGCACAACTTCAACACAACTTGCACACAACTCACGATTTAGATTGCACAACCTGCACACAACTTGCATACAACTTGCACACAACATGCACACAACTCACCATCTTGAATGCACATCCTGCACACAACTCACCATCCTGATTATTCCAAGTCCAGTCTGGTCCCCTGCACACGGTGGCTCCTGGGAATATCCCCATGGCCTTTCGTTTCTGTCCTTGACTTTCACAACGCTTAGGAACTCTGACCCTGGAGTAGCGAATGCCTATACATCATATCATTTATTATTTTATTATTTATTATTATTATTCATTATTATTTTATTATCAGTTGTATTATTTTATATTTTTATTACTATTATTGTTTTTATTATTATTATCATTATTATTATTATCATCAGAATTTAGTCTTTATTAATGTGGTAATTTAAACATTAAATACCCATCAAGTATCATACAGTTGATATTAAACCAATCTGTTCAACCTTGCAAGAATATATAGCTAATTGGTCAATTAAGGAACTTCCTTATTCTTTATTTCTTTAGCGAAAAACGGTGTAAATAATGTTTAGTAACCTGGTCATGTCTGCTTCATTCCCCTTTAATAAAACCAATTTTTACCAGTAAATATGGTGACCAGTTGTAATGTTTCAACAACAAAATATATATATAATTTGCTTACTAAGTAATGATGTCGGGTCAGTTTTTGAGAAGTATGTTAGATTGGACTTACAGATGTCCAGTGGTCCGTTTTGAGAACGATGTTTCGTGGGACTAACTGAGAAAAGGTACGGTGGTAAGTTTTAAGAATGACGTAGCTCATGTGGCAACATTGAGGTAGTCGGTGATGAGAGGCAAGTTAAAATGGACTTAAAAAAGGAAGAGTACAGTGGTCAGTTTTGACAAAACTATTGACTGGACTTACAGAGGACAGCCTCAAGTGGTCTTTTTTTTTTCTTTTTTTTTTAGATTGGTGTCACGTGGGACTTACTGAGCGGAGTTGCCATTGTCGATTCTGAGAAAGGCGTGCGATGTGTCATGTTTGTCCCTCATGTAGCACTCAGTACAGAGATCGTAATTGTCACACACGTCACATTTCCAGCGAATTCCCTCAATACCGCTCTCACTGCAACTGTCACAGCTTACGCTGGAATGCTTGACAGCTGTGAAAGAGATTCGCAAACACAGTTGAGCCCCGGACCTAAGCCTGAAACCCGGAACGAGAATTCGGAAATACAGTTGAGCCCCGGACCTAAGCCTGAAACGCGGCACGAGAATTCGGAAATACAGTTGAGCCCCGACCTAAGCCTGAAACGCGGAACGAGAACCGGAAATAACGCTGCTGCGCTGCTGAAATGTCTAATTTTAATTTGCACATTAATTTAATTATTTTTTCAAAGGAGGAATTAAAGGGCCGGGGGGGGGGATATTTATAAATATTTATATTTTTCAGGATGGGAGCACATATTCTTTTGTTTGAAAAGAAAGCACACAAAAAACTATTGTCGCAGGGGGGTAGCTATTGTTTGTACCACCTTGGACGGGCAAAGACGTTTGCCATCCCATTCTACGAAAAAAAAACATTTCAGTTGTTTAAAAATGCAGCAATATCATATTAAGAAAAAAAATCGCCCAGGAGGAAAAGAAAAAAAAAAGGGGGGGGGGGCGCCACCACCGCTCTCAGCTTTAAACACCACAGCAATTAGAGTGGTTCCTGAAAATTAAAATTAAAAAAAAAGAAAAAATTATTTTAAAATAAAAAAAAAATTAAAAAAAAAAAAAAATTTAAAAATGCAGCAATATCATATTAAGAAAAAAAATCGCCCAGGAGGAAAAGAAAAAAAAAAGGGGGGGGGGCGCCACCACCGCTCTCAGCTTTAAACACCACAGCATTTAGAGTGGTTCCTGAAAATTAAAATTAAAAAACATGAAAAAATTATTTTAAAATAAAAACAACATTAAAAAAAAAAAAAAATTTAAGCCGCGAACATGTTAGCTTGGGCCTGCTGGTGTTTCTGTAGACACAAGCTAATGAATGGAAACAACGCCCGTTTTATGAGCTGTCAAAAGTGTAATGCTGTTTGCTCGGAATCCAGGCTTCTGCGAGACCAAGAGTTTTACGTACTTCCGCAGACGTCCTGAAATGGGTGCAGTGGGGCACATTAGTAACATCTGTTGACCGAATCCGAATGGTGGGCCCAAATTTTCGCGTTGAATCGTGGTTTCCCTGTCCTAGTATTTATTCTCAATTCAGTGGCTCATGACTTTAAGATGTGTCTAACAGTTTGCTGTTGTTTTTTTTTAATTTAGAAAAAAACATAATAATTTTTCAGCTTTTTGTTTAGAGACACTTTTCACGGGCTCGTCAAATGTAATTTGTTTCTTGATTAGTAGAATAAAATTAAAAAATAAATGCCAACCAACTTAGAATTATTTTTATTTATTTTTTTAAATATAATAAAATCTCCAAGTTTAAACAAAATTGTAATTAAAACATATAAATTTAACTTCACTGAAATTGTGTTCTTTTATTCCACAGCCACACCTTTACGAGAGCTGACCTTGCAAGAAGTAAAGGCGATTTAATAAAGGTCTTTCGAACAAATATAAAAGGCACCCATTTTCTGCATACAACGCAAGGGATGAACTTCAATTATTTTTCTTTTAAGCGTCCATAGAACTAGGCTACATAAAAAGAAATTGAAATATTTGACCTTATTGATGTTAATTTTATAGTCTATAAATTATGGTTGAAAGGCACCATACATAATATTTAGTACGTACGGAAGTGTGTGTGGGGGGGGGGTTGGGAGATTTTGCGTACAGTTGCATATGGGCAGGGGATGGGTCTAGGCAGAATGTGTATTCACAACATTGAATAGTTTATATTCTACTCACCACATCGACCATTATCAAGCACATACAATGCTCTACTCACCACATTGGCCATTATCAAGCACATGCAATGCTCTACTCACCACATTGGCCATTATCAAGCACATACAATGCTCTACTCACCACATTGGCCATTATCAAGCACATACAATGTTCTACTCACCACATTGGCCATTATCAAGCACATGCAATGCTCTACTCACCACATTGGCCATTATCAAGCACATACAATGCTCTACTCACCACATTGGCCATTATCAAGCACATACAATGCTCTACTCACCACATTGGCCATTATCAAGCACATGCAATGCTCTACTCACCACATTGGCCATTATCAAGCACATACAATGCTCTACTCACCACATTGGCCATTATCAAGCACATGCAATGCTCTACTCACCACATTGGCCATTATCAAGCACATACAATGCTCTACTCACCACATTGGCCATTATCAAGCACATGCAATGCTCTACTCACCACATTGGCCATTATCAAGCACATACAATGCTCTACTCACCACATTGGCCATTATCAAGCACATGCAATGCTCTACTCACCACATTGGCCATTATCAAGCACATACAATGCTCTACTCACCACATTGGCCATTATCAAGCACATGCAATGCTCTACTCACCACATTGGCCATTATCAAGCACATACAATGCTCTACTCACCACATTGGCCATTATCAAGCACATGCAATGCTCTACTCACCACATTGGCCATTATCAAGCACATACAATGCTCTACTCACCACATTGGCCATTATCAAGCACATGCAATGCTCTACTCACCACATTGGCCATTATCAAGCACATACAATGCTCTACTCACCACATTGGCCATTATCAAGCACATGCAATGCTCTACTCACCACATTGGCCATTATCAAGCACATACAATGTTCTACTCACCACATTGGCCATTATCAAGCACATGCAATGCTCTACTCACCACATTGGCCATTATCAAGCACATACAATGCTCTACTCACCACATTGGGCATTATCAAGCACATACAAATCATAAGCATTGTCTTTTCCCGTCCTGTAGTTTTTCCTTGTCCCCGAATCCCAGACGATGGTCGCCACTTTTTCAGCGCCGTCCGAGGCGACGACCGTCCCCACGTGACCTTCACCTCCATCATCGTCGCCATCTTTCCAGTTTGGTCCCCGGACTACGCGAAGACCTGGCTTCATTTTTTGTTTCTTTATGGGATCTGAAGAAAAGAAAATAACTTTTTAGACTTATTTCCTATATAATGTGTGTGTATAAAAAAATTATTTCCGGTGCTTCAAAACAAACCTGTTGGGCTCTTTTGACTGTGAGGATTGGAGTATTTTGGATTGTACGCCCTAATTGATTTTGATAGGATTGTAGGGGCCTTATTGCATATGGGGGTTCTTGGGATTGTAGGGCTTTGCTGAATTTGGGCCTCTCAACTCTAAGGATTGTTAGGCCTCGAGGAATATGAGGCGTTGAGGATTATGGGGTCATGTGGACTGTGAGGATAGTTGGGTCCTGTAGAGTGTGAGACTCAAAGGTCTGTTGAGCCCTGTGGTAGGTTTGATGCCCGGGAGTGTAAGCCCTTAGATTGAAATCGTGTTCTTACTTCAGGCCACAAACAGTGGGTTATTATACAGCAACATTTTGAAAGTGTGTAGGCCTTTATGGTGAATATGGTAGTGGGAGAATGGTCCATTCTGTATAAATTACGCTATTTCAAAGCATGGTGTAGCATTTCTTTTTTAAAATAAATAAATCCATTTTTGGTGCATTTTTTCATTGAGGCCTTTTTTTAAAAAAAGTCTGGTTATTTATTAAAATGTTTAAAGAAGCTTTAACTTACAGCTTATCAATTTCCATAATAATGACATGGAAGATTGGTGGAACAGAACCGTAAAAAGCAATGTAGCACTTGCCCATTGAGCAAGATATTATTTTTTATTTTTTTTTTTAAACAAAAATATTAGAGTGTTCAGTTTAAAATTTCATTGCTATATAGATATTTAATACAAAATGTATAAGAAATTATATTCTTAATAATTAATAATTAATTATAGACATATTTCAATTAAATGTTTGTTCGTTTTTGTTTTGGTTTTGGTTTTTTTAATTATTTTTTTTAATGATTTAAAAGACAAATACATTTGTAATTGTAGATGAAATTCAACAATTTCACATATCTAATATATAAGAATAGTCTAAATGTTTTAACACACCAACAACAAAATAATCATTATATAATCATTTAAATGTTAGAGACAGATAGAAACAAAATAAACTAACTCAATTGTTTTCTTTCGTTACCATAACTGATTTCTTCTTTTTATTTTTATTATAAATATTTTTTAAAGTTTGCCTTTTTTTTATCTCACTGTAAACAAAAATGGCGTCTACCGTACCAGTAGCTGAAAGCAAAAGACGACATTGCTTGTCACTGGAAGATAAAGTGAAACTACTTAAAGAGCTTGATGGAGGTGAAGATCAGAAAACGAGCCTGGCTCGAAAGTTTGGGATCTCAAAATCTACTTTATCAACAATTATTGCTACACGGGCGAAAATTGAGTCGGCATTTAGAACTGCTAAATTTTCACCCAACAGGAAAAGATTACGGGTTGGAAAATACAGCCGATTGGAAGATGGGCTGTTTTTGTGGTATGAGAAGGTAATGTCATAGTGTTATTGAAATTATTGATAAAAAATTGGGTCGATTTGGACGACGTCATGGAGAGCTATTGATTTTTTTAGTAAACTAAATCAGGCTCTCTCGAAACATGAATAAAATATTATAAATTAAAAAGCCAAGAAAAAGAATTTCATTAAATGAAAGGCTTACACTGGACCAAGTTGGTACTCCAACTCAAATTTTCAAATACATCTAACACAGTAAAAGGGCATATCATTGGAAAGAGCTGGCTTTAAGCTTTCCAATGACTCAAAGATAATCTTTCTATCATTTATAGGAGAAAAGTTATGTTTTTTTTAGTTATTTATTTAACCCCACTATTCAGCTTTGTATTTTACTTTTGAAACTGTGATCGCATTATTACTCTCTTGGTACTATTTTGCTTGTATCTTTTTGGCTATTAAAGTCATTTTCACAGCCTAGATATTTTTTACACTTAAATAGTAGGGGTGTGCCGGACCCCGGTCCGGAATCCGGTTCCGCCAGATTTTGCACTATCCGGTGAAATCCGGTTCCGCCGGATTTACATGTATCCGGAACAACCGGATTCCGGAATATACCGGATTTCGGAATTTGCCAGATTTTGTGACTCACCGGATCATAATCTGAAATAAAAGTAATTCTCTTTCCCGAATTTCACACGATCACGATACATTAATCGATTGTTTCGAGCGTTGAGCTTGTTTAATGTTTAATATTCCGTACATACCAGAGGCTAGAGTCAGCACCGCTAATAGTGGCCAATAGTGTAGGGACTTTGATAAGAAAATTTAAACTTTTTGTAAAAATAAACCAATGGCATAGTTGAAAAGATGTAATTTTTTAAAGAATTATAACACCAAAATCATATTTTTAGCTGTTGTAGTTTTAAAGTTATGAATTTTTAAAGTACGACTTGGTTTGTCATTTTTTAACATGGACTGCATCTCCACATTCTGTGATCTCATTCCACCAATCCCGTCATGCGCAATGACTATATAGTTTATATAAGGCAACGCATTCCCTGCCTTATCACTAAAATACTGTTTAGACTTAGTTTAAACTTTCAACTTTGGCACATGAATAATTAATTAAAGCTTTCCCTGACCAATGGTTTAATAGTTTTTGCACACGGCAAACTCTTATGAATGAAACTCTGAGGTAGTACTACGATACAGTTATGCAAGTGGCTGTGAATGGTTGCCAATGACAACGTGTTGCACACAGTAAATTCTGATCATTTATAATATGGATTCTACCGGGTTGTTAAAGCTCAAATTAAAACATTCCAGTTTAAATGTCTTTAAATGCATTCTGAAACACAAGTTATCAATTATTTTGATGTAAATAGTGATAATAAATTAATATTTCCTAAGTATCGTCAACTTCCGCCATTAAAAAGGGGGGCGTGGCCAACCCCATGGCGAAATTAGGTTGAGCGAGCTGCATAACCTGCTGCGAACGCGTAGAAACATGGCGTCTCTCGTAAGACACTTATCCAAATGGAACGGAACTCAAATATATATCGAAAGTACTAATTTAATAATAAATAGACACACACATCGGAAAATTAAAAACTCGGATTTTTTGGCGCCGATTGCGAATTCCCATACACAAAAAGTAGTAGTCCACCTTGACTTACCGAAGTATCTACCAATAGTACCAAAATCCGGAATCCGGGAGAAACCGGAATCCGGATCCGGCGGATTTCGCATAAGAAAATCCGGATCCGGTTGGAAAAAACGGATCCGGCACACCCCTATTAAATAGATAACTTTTAAACTAATAAAGCTACTGCAATTAAATTTTCAGCACAAACAAAAAATTTATATCTAAAAGTAAGGCAAATTTAAATTAAATAAAATGCTGAGCAGTGAATTTATGTAATATTAGAAAAAAGTATTTTACGAAAAGCGAACACAGCCGAGATAATTTTACATTAAAATACATAACTTTTAAACTAATAAAGTAGGTACTTTGACTCAAATTTTTAATATAGTCCTATTGCCATGAATGATACATCATTTTAAAGGGCTAGCTAGAAGCTTTATAACAACACCAATTTCATCTTTCTATCTTTTATAGAAGTGGAGTTATGAATTTTTTAGTCAAATTTTTTATGCCCCTTATATAATCTATATATTTTACCCCCAAAACGTGTGACCCAAATTTCTCATTTCTGTATTATTTTGCCCACAACATTTTTATTTTAAAGATAATTGTACCAAATTTTCAGGAGACATTGCTAATCTAATAACCAACACAAAGAACAATATAAATTTTACATTACATCAAGACTTTTTATTTTGGATAATTTTTCTTTGCAGGTATGTTGAAAAAAATCATGTCCAAAAAAATTGTAAAAGTTATTTGTAAAGGCAAAAAAAAAAAAAATACATGTTTATTGTAGTTAAACTAAATGTATGATTCAGTTATATTGCAAATAAATGCTTAGCTTTATAAAAGGTAAGTAGAAGTCTTTTTTAATACAAAATTAAATGCATTAAATTATAAAAACTATTCAAATCACCCATCACATATGAGTCGAGCATATGGGTATGTGATTAAATTTTAAAAGGGAATGGGGATGTTCTGCCTATCATTTTCTATGTAGACTCCTTTACAGACTTCTTGGTCTTGTTAATGAATCACAAAATTTCTCCTTCATAAACTTTGTCTTTGCCATCCT